GCAACGTTTGACTGTCCTTTACTGATTTCTATGTTCACACACAGTCCAAGAACACATTAAAACGATGAATAATTGGACAATATTTGAAATACGTGCAGATAAAGTTGGGCACGACCAAAGGAAAATATTTGGCGATTGAGCATGCGTACGACCGCAATGCAGCTTTATATATTATTAGTAATTTATGTTTTGGTCGTTCTCCTTACAGTCGAGCACAACCAAACTAGGGCTGACTATACCCATTGGACAGGCCGTGAGGGTTTCAGCCAATCAGCAGCAGGAATATATAATTTGGTCGTGCTGGTCTGGAGTAGAGGACGACCAAAACGGAGCGAACGCCCTTCCATTTCGCATTAGGCAATAAATAGAACCCAGATAAAGTAAATGGTTTGAACCAGGAGTATCGTTATATGTTTGTAAATGATGATCGTCAGAGTTAATAAAGTCCTGAGAGGACTGTTTGATATTGTTGACTGACGTTTCGACAACCTTAGCGGTAGTCATCTTCAGAGTCAAATGAGGAGTAAACGTCAGGTTAGCCGTATTTGTTGTCTGGTTCTTACGTCATTGTATTGTGTGTACAGAAATGTGCAGGAAATGTGTATTGTCATTGTGGATTAGTGTGAAGTGAAATATTTTATTTTAGTTGTGATGTGTGATTTAGGTGTGACGTTTTTGGACGTTGTAGTGTGTAGGTGTCAATTGTGTATTGTCATTGTGAATTAGTTTGAAGTGTAATGTTTTTAGTTGATCGTTTGTTTGTATTGTGAATAAGTCGTTTTGTAAGGTGCCATTAATTGCTGTGATCTGTTCAGGGGGTTTGTTCAAATTGGTATACCATAACTTTTCTAATGTAAGCCGTTGTCTATAGTCAGTACTGTAAGTGATGCATTTGCGGAGTCCCAGTCAATGTTGCTTTGTGATTCGGTGATGTTCGGCAATGTGATTGGATTTTGTCTTGTTTCTTAGTATCGTTTGCTCATTAAGTCTTATGTTTAAGTTCCTGCCAGTTTCCCGATATAGGAGGCGTGGCAGTCGGAGCGGATTTATTTTGTAAACTGCACCTTGTCGTTCGTTAGGGGTGTTCTTTGTCCTTTATGTTCGTTGCATTAGTAATGTTGTGATTGGTTTATGTGCGACGTATGTTGTACGGTCGTAAGATACGCGAGATAGTCTCAGACATTGCTGATGTAGGTATCGTTGCTGGTATACCTTACATCAAAGGAATTTTTATCGATATTAATTCACAATGACAATACACAATTGAAACACCCACACTACAACTAAAAACGTCACAGACAAAATTAGACAATATTTGAAATACTCGTGTGAATGAAGTTGGACACGACCAAGGAAAATATTCGGCGATTGAGCGTACGTACGACTCAATGCAGCTTTATATATTATTAGTAATTTATGTTTATTGTCGTTCTCGCCTGATCGACACACACGGTAAACTAGGCTGACTATACCCATTTTAAAAGGCCGTGAGGTTTTCCAACCAATCAGCAGGAATATATAATTTGGTCGTGCTGGTCTGAGTAGGGGACGAGGCCAAAAGCAAAGACGAACGCCCTTCCATTAGCACAGTCAATAAATAGGGCGAAGATGTCGGGCAGAAACGTAATATAGTGAAAGTAATGGCAGTACATATCACAAAATACAAATGAAGCATAAGAAATCGATTTTGTTTTCGCTAATATCTGTCAACATTAAAACAAGTAATAAAATTTTAGTGGTAAATAAAACCTTAGTTTGAAAAATGTTTGATGGTATGGCGGCGGCCCGACCTCTAAGCTTTGCCACTGTGTGGATGGTTTGCTGAAATTAAGAATTGTCACCCAGTGCTCGCATTTTCTTTGTGTGTGCTTGTTTCTACTTAAAAGTACATTATAAAGTAAATGGTTTTGAACCTGGGAATGTCGTTACATGTTTGTAGTGCAGATCGTCCATGTTGTTAAGTCCTGAGAAGGACTGTTTTTATTGTTGACTGACTTTTCGACAACCTTAGGAGGAGAATCATCTTCACAGTCAAATGTTTGTGGAAGTCAGGAGTCAAAGTCACTTCACTCTGAAGATGACTACCGCTAAGGTTGTCGAAACGTCAGTCAGCAACAGCAAACAGTCGCTACTCACGATACCAACCTGGACAATCTATCTACAAACGTTATGTTGTTCTTCATCAGCTTGGAAGAGATTTGGACGGTACAGCATGTTCATGAGATCAAAGAATGCCCATGTGTCTCAAAAGAGGAAGATCATGGACACTGTCATACTACCAGCAATGACTTATGGAGCAGAGACATTGGGCGCACCAGCCATCAAAGAGAAACTGGCAATCGCAAAAGGAGCATGGAAGATCAATGCTCGGTGTCACGAGGAGAGATAAAGATCCGGAATGAAGACCTGAGAGCGAACAAGGTGAAGGATGTCATCGAAAGTTAATGAAGCCAAAGGAAAGTGGGCAGGACATCTGGCCGAATGAAAACCATGAATGGGCAAAACATCCTGAATGGACCCGTAGGACAAGAGAGAGAAAGGCAAGGAAAACCAAAAAGAGAGATGGAGAGATGACATCGAGCAGAGAGCGGACAGCGATGTGGATCCAGAGCCCAAGACCGTGAAGAGTGGAGAAAGATGTAGGAGGCCATCCGCCAGCAGTGGCGTGACAGGCTGATGATGATGATGATGATGATGTTGTTCTTATACTTTGGTACATCACGATGGTTAGGCATAAAAAATAAAAGCCTTTAAAAGCAATTTTTATTATTGTGATAGAGAATTACGAGCAAAGATAATCATTGTCTACAATGATCACCAGTGATCCTATCTATAAAATGCAATGTTCATATCCAAATTTTAGCAGCAAGTCGTAAACAGGAAGCCGAAAATAAAATATTGTCACAGCGCAAACTATGGTGTATACTTGTGTTCTTTTCACTGATTTGCACGCAAAATTAGAAATACTTTTTGAACAAACCTCATTGTTGGCTATGAAATAACACTATCATTATTAGCTTGTTTTGAAACAATTGTGTTGGAATGAGTTGATAATAGCACTGAAAAAATAAAGTCAATAACGACATAAATAAAAATACAGATCATTACGAAATAGATTTACAAAACTTACAAATTTTTTTACCCATTTTTCATTAGTAGATAACATTAAAAGTGTAGTTGTTTTGAATGATTATTGAATGGTTAAAACAAAATATTTTTGAGTTTTACACAAAATGTATTTATAATACAAATTTACATAATCCCTGTTTCTTTCTATAGATACCACTTTACGTTGAAGTTGACGATGATTTAAAGTTTTTTTCTTGAGTTGATGGAACATTCAAAACAAGGTCTTCCTCCAACATTTCCATCAAAGATTCAAATTCTTCAGAAAAGTCTTGAATGGGTAGAATTTAGAATTGGTTGAGTATTTCCACCATCTTCTTCCATACTTTCATTTTCCACTGCACTGTCGTATCTTTCGTTGCCATCTTCTAGCATATCACAATTATTATCTTTAACGTTATTCTCTTGTTCAACACAGAATTTTTACCTTTGTCGTTCATCTTTTTGTAAGGACGATCTAAAGATAATTACAATAGGAAAAAGTCCTCATTTGAGCTCTTCTACAAATGGAAATGCTGGTTTTTACGCAAACGAATTACGTTAATGGTGAACGGTTACACGATGCTTATATCTGTAAAATATTTTCCGATTTTGCGCAAAGAAATGAAACAAGAATGTAAGATTTAGGATAATTGTATTTTACTATTTCCGCTGGTCGTGCTAATAATAGAATTAAAATCGTCGATTTCTTGTTACATCACCTTAAGTAAATATGGTTTTGGATCGTAAGCGTAGAAGCATGTTTTTAAAAGTGTTAAATAAATTACATTAGTAACGGCTACCTTTTCTTAAAAGCCAACTTCACGAATATTCACGAATTAAAATCAGTCGAGTGTCCAGTTTAACGCGAAGACTTCAAACACCAATGAATGTTCAGTGATTTTATACATCTCTATAAACAAATGAAACATTCTATCATGTGTTTCGTCATACATTGTAACCCAGAACGGAACTTCCGCACTTATTTCCATCAATATTGAGGATAATATTTATGGAACGGAATCCATCAATATTAATGAATATGATACCGTGTTTATGATTACACACATTTGTGTGGACAAACCTTTGTTTGTTTGGTAGTTGTTTCAAACTTCGTGCCTAGAAACCAAGTACACCTAACGATGCCTAAATATTACAAATATTAACAATATATATACCACCTAACGTGCCTAGATAAAGATCTTTTTTGGTTGAAGGTCCTTAATTATGTCCACTATGTAGCAAAAATGGTCACGTGATATAAAAGAAATTATAACCATTACATCGTATATCCGTATCTTTAATATTGTCATGTTCTTTATTTCTTTGTTCTTGTTCTTGTTCATGTTCTTGTCCTTGTTCTTTGTCCTTTAATATTGTCATGTTCTTGTTCTTGTTCATGTTCTTGTCCTTGTTCTTTGTCCTTTAATATTGTCATGTTCTTGTTCTTGTTCTTTTGTCCTTTAATATTGTCATGTTCTTGTTCTTGTCCTTGCTTAGGAGCTAAACATGTTTCATACAAAATGTTTTATGGTTTTGATTGGTTATATGAAATGCTCTTTAATAGGTATTACATATGAATTGGACAACTGTTTTTCTATTGTGTCTGTTGACATAAAATTGTCAGTTTTAACAGAAATAGGCCTTCATAGAGATCCAAGAAATGTAAAAATCTTAAAATGATTTAAACTTATTCAGGAAAGAGGTCATTATTATATTTTATTATCCTAACTAACGTTTTATTTGACTTGATGGGGTACTCTAGGAATCACGGCAAATCTTTGGCTCGTGGTCGATGGTAATTATCAGGTGTAGGAAAAACTACGTCAGAGGTCTGGTACCGACACAAAGACGCGATTCTTGTCATTTCATTCTGGATAGTACGCCGTCCATCAAGCTCCTCAGTTCTTAGATAAATAAAAATTGTCAAATACCAGCTGTTATCCTTCTGTAAAAGTAAGTAAACATTCTTAGTTAACGTTAGAATGGAGTTTTGTAAATTTTGATGAATTCGAACAACAATATTCGTCGTCGTTTCCATAATGAAAGCAGAAACCAATGAAAAATGTATTTGTAATTGCAACTATGTTCAACGCATTTGGGTATAATTGTGACAGTTTTCATCATAAAAGAAAATTGCACTAGGCTGTCGTCAATAGCTTCAAATATCGATTTTTGAACGGTTTTATGCGCCGTATCCGCAAAGTATCAAACGTAGACGACCTAACATCTATGTACTTATTAGGAACATGAAAATAATTCAACCAGTTATAACCAGGAGGCGTCAATTTCCTGAACACTTAACACTTTAAACATCGAAACATGTTTTATAATATTTAAAGTCACGCTTAAGTGAGAATCGTGTGATAAGTTTTTGAAGTATGTATTGGCTCTTTGCCTTGCTTGTAACAAATCTATTGCGCACAAAGGCATATAAAGTTCCCTGAGTGAAAATAATTTGGTGTAAAAAATTATCGTGTTAGAAACTTTCAAAGTCATTATTATGGATCAAAAATTACTTGTAGCTTGTTTTTAATACATTTCCTGAATTTTTTGAAAATAATTAATTCATTCTTTGGTATTTGGTTAATAAATGATGTAGCCACAAAGCACAAGTGGTGCTTCATCACTTCCTCATAACTGTGGTGCATTGGAGCATGTTACATTTGATTTAAATTTTCCGTTTGATATTTCGAAGTTTTTGCAATAGTGGAAATGTTTATCGTAAGTCACGATCAAAGTTACTTATTCGTTGGATGAAAAACTATCTCAACAAAAATTTCAAATACATGAGGCAAAGTTACGCAAAATAACGTTTCCCACAACGGAAGTTTCATGTTTGTACTAAAATATGCACAACACTAAAGATATATACTTTTCCGCTAGATTTAATGTCGTGAAACCTTCGTATTGCGATTCCTACATAACCTTTGATGGAATTTTAATGCAAATAAACGTTTACATATGTAGCCATTGTGAACGTATCGACGTCCCGCTTTAAATATTTGAAATGTTTCTAATTAATGTTATTCATTTTTTTTTCAATTGTGTTATTTTTTGTAAGAATATCTATGATAAAATAAAGATATGATCTTATAAACATAAGTTAGAAAACATCCTTTCATAAGTATGTATGATGTTCTTTAGAATGCCTCCTTGTTTGTCAAAGTCAATAATGAGAGACGTCTACACCATTTATCCACAAAAGAATAATGTTGTACCACAATACAACCAATGAATGCCTCCTTGTTTATCAAAATCAATGAGAGACGTCTACACCATTTATGCACAAAGAATAATGCTGTACCACAATACAACCAAACGATCCATTTCTATGCTCCAAAAAGACTTGAGCTAAGTCCTTTCGCTAAGAACTGATATGTACGATAATGTGAGCTTGCTTTACATGTCGAGATGAGTTGGTTAAAAAAGAGATCATGAAAGTGAAGGAGAAATTGCACTCCTCGCTTATTCTTGTCTCATCTTGATGATCAATCAATGACAGTTTTACTTGGAACCTACATTAAGAAATTTTTTAAGTGTACTATATTTACGAATGACGCCTTTCCTCTTTTTCCGTACAATGAAAACTACCTAAACCATTGGTTTACGCAGAATTTTTCACATTTTAATGATGCAGGGAACAGAATTAATCAAAAGTAAAGATTTTAATGCAAGTAACAAAGATGAAGCAATTAAATATATCATCGAGTTTGAAGAAAGAAGAAGAATGAAATACTGAGTTATATTTCCATGGCACTGATTTTGGAATTAAAGAAGTGCGATTATATCAAAAGTCAATTACAAGTGATGGTCGTTCAGCAGGTGACCAAAGGAAGATATTCTGCAGGTTTGTGTAAAGAACCCAAAATGGCTGAGACAATCAGCGGTTCTCCCATCATTGGTAGGTGCAGTCTCTATAAAACCTGATTCTGAAGAGAACAATTCGTTGTTGGGTTTTGATTCATTTGTATGTTGAAAATTCATTTTGAATCTGATGCTTAGCAATGGCCTGTTCATGTGCATTTAACTTTTTCAAATGGGGAGGCAACAAGCATTCAAATAAATCATTTTCATCTTTTGCCACGTTTTCGTTTTGATGCTTAATTGCTTTTTGCATTGTATGAAGAAACTGTATTTCTTCTTGCTCAACATCAACTTTTTGTCTTTGACCACTTTTATGTCCAGTTGTATCAGATATATCAGTAATCTTATCATCAAATGCTTCATCTGGCTCCATTCGTTGACAGCCATTGTCTTCATTTAGTAAGCTGACATGCTCAATTTCATCATTGGTTAACAAACTACAGTTACTTGTTCGAGCCGCTGCCGGTATTTGATACAACAAATTAGTTTTGTTTGCTCCAGACTTTATGTGTGGTACTAACCACTGTAGAAAATTATAGTCCTTCAAGTTTGTTTTAGAAACAACAGCTGACAGAGATGTTCCAGATTTATTTACTTTTTAAAGTCATTTCTTCGCTTGCTGAATCTTTTTAAATTTTCAAACAATTTTGGCTCGCTCACCAATTATTAAAGTAAATGGTTTGAACCCAGAGTATCGTTACATGTTTGTAAATGTAGATCGTCAGGTTGGTATAGTCTTGAGAAGGACTGTTTTGTTGTTGTTGACTGACGTTTCGACAACCTTAGCGGTAGTCATCTTCAGAGTCAAATGAAAATTGTTTTACGTTTCAATAGATTCAGATTTTCTGCCACTTTGCCCAAGCATTTGCCGCCAAACTTGTCTTTATAATCCTTATATGTTTTATCATATAAGCAGGAATCTTACGCACTTTCTCGGCCAACTTTCTGGGTTAAGTGATTGAACATGTTGAATCCGCCATTTTATATTCAAAATTTTCATTTAAGATGACGTCATTTGGCGATTAACGCGAATAAATATCAAAATTATATCGCGGTTGTTAGTCTCGTTTATTGCGATTATTACCACGTTCCATATGGGATTATCGCGTTTAAGTTAATCGCTGTCGCGTTTTCGCGTTAAGCCAAAAGTGGAAAAGGCTTTAGATCATAGCTCGACCAGTAAGAAATTGCTCAAGTTCTTCAGTTATTACATAATTATAGTCAATGGCAGGTATATCTATAGTCTTTGTTATTGTGAATTGTGAAATTGGGAGTTGAGAGAATTTGCTTTGAATTGTATTCAAAGCTTGAAATTTCGACAATGACTTCACTGATTGCTACAATGGATTAAAACATGCAAAACAACATGATGATATTATTTTCATTTTATTCGGCGTACTTTGTGGATTTTACTTTTCATTATTACATGGCAATGTTCAGTCGTCCATAGATCCAACACCTAAAGGAATATGCAATGTACGTGTCTTTTCTTGGTGAGATTTGGGTGAGACTTTAAGACTTTGGTTCTTCCTTTGATTGTATCCAGCTTGCTTTTAACAGTCGCTGAATTGGAGTCAAAACAGAGCGGAAAATTAGGAAGAAGAACATTGCTGTATTATCTTATGACTACAATGTTTCCAATTTAACAAATGTTAACGTGAACCAGAACCGAACGAAGAAAAAGTTGAACCAATACCTTCTGTGCTTTGATCTTACAAGGTTTGTGCAAAATATTCATAAATTTACTGAATTTGCACCCTGCTTTTGCTTTACTGCAGAAATTTTCTTATACATTATAACTTTTTATTTCTATTATTTAACGACAATGCTTTTGCTTTTTCAATATGAACATAATAGCCCAACATAAGACATTCCTCATAATAATAAAATAAAAAAGACAAAAGGTTTTTAATATTTCGTCTTTAACTTAAAGACATATTTAGATTATTTGAGATGAATTATATACATGAGGTTTTAAATACAAGCATATATTGCAGGGTGTTAAATTACAAGTGAGAGTGGGAAGTTTAGATGAAGGAATGAAATGAGAATGGCAGTATATTAAGAAGGTGAAGGGATGAGTTGCCTTGGGTGGTAAGAGAGGTTTAAGTTTGATATAAAGAGAAGGCTTTCATGAATCATAAGGTCATAATTGTTGGCTTTTGCTTTACTAAAGGAAGCCTTTTTATTAGAACGTAAATGCTTGTTCATAAAACTGTGCAAGTGTGGAGATTTCCAGAATGTGATAACCCATTCACCTTCACTATTGTGAAACAATAATAAATACATTCACGATATTAGTTGTAAATACATTTTATTATGTCTTCTGAACCATACCAAAGAGAGCAAAGGTAATGCTACAAGATCATAATAAGAACATCGAGATTTTAAATGGATAAGTTAATCTGAAACATAGCCTTTACAACAATGACCTTGAAATATAAAAATTGCAATAAACCTTCCACACTCTACTCATCACACACTCAATTTCTCATCTCTTGAGACAGTGAGTGGAAGGTTTAATGAAATTTTGAATTTTAAAGTCAAAAAGATCTTTACTCCTTTTGAATTTAAAACTGCTTTATATTTATGGCAAAAGTTTGCTGAAATTTTGTTTACGATTGTAACATGTGACAGCCAGGGTTATGTGTTAAAGGAACTGGAAAAACTTCGAGCGTCAAAATGCAGAAGTTGATGGTGATGATGATAATCCTGATGATGAAGAAGAAGAACAAGATGAAGCAAAAATGATTGTGGTTTGTTTTAAAACTTGCTGTGTTTATTTTTATCATACGATCCTGTGATTGACTAGAATAAATTACTTGGCATGGCGGATAGCAAAAATGATATTTACGAGAGGGATGACAGAAGCGATGAGGGTAATCCAACGCAAACTTTGGGTACAAAGAGAGGTATATGAGCGAGTTATTTTGCATTTAGTTTATATCAATCAACAGTAGTCTGTCTTTGTTGATTTGAAACAAATTTAACAGATAAGCGTTGAGCCGCAGAGACAAATGATCCACTGGTCATTCAAACCAGTGGCTTGCTACATAAAATCAAAGATATTTCGTTGATTCAGATTTTAAGTATTTTTCTTCCAATCAGCAGCATCAACGGCTGATGACAACCCAGCCAAAACAGTTCTAATGCTAGTTCTATTACAGTCAGCCTGTCCGGGTACGTTGACTTTTTACATAGTAAGCTAGTAACAGGGTCAGCTGTAAAGAAGTCAACGTACCTGAACCAACGAAGTATCTTTGATTTTTGTGTAGCAAATACGGGTTTGAATGACCAGTGGATCATTTGTCTCGTTACTCAACGCATCTGTTAAATTTGTTTCAAATCGCCAAAGACAGACTACTATTAGATTGATATAAACTAAATGCCGAAAACTCTTGCTCATTTACCTCTCTTGTACCAAAGTTGCGTGATTACCCTTCCTATCACTTCTGTCAGCCTTCTCGAAATATCCAATTGTTTTATCCGCCATGCCTTTTCGCACTTTAGCTGAAATCAGTGAACTACAATATAGAACAGGCCATCCCTCAAACTTTCCACAGCGGGAGAGGGTAAGTAGATCACGAACGTGACGTCATTCAAGTGTGCCAGATATCATCGCTCCGTCTGAGGCGACGGTGCAACCTCATAAACCAGGAGAGTATTTCTATTGTAATTCGTCAGAGTCAGACCCATTTTGTCAAGTGTATGAGATTTCTATTTCAGAAGAGAGGTTGCTCTGACTGTGAAAGGTAAGATTATTATACATGGTGTATCAAACAGAATGTTTTAAATTTCTTGTTTAATAGTTGTTGTGCAAAAGTTTTGATGTATTTCTTATATGATATACCATTATGTCTCCTAGAAACTTTGCGTGCAATAATTGAAATTAAGGTATTTTCATCTGCTATAAAAGAGTATTGAAACATTTAATGAATTTTCACAAACTATCTTGTAAATAACGTACTAACTAAACGTCGTGCATGCACTCTATTTTTTAGGCAAGAAGCTGTGCTACAGTTTGAACATAGCTAAGTTATAATTTCCCCGCAAAACGCACAGCTTGTGTCCAAAATATAGTTATAATTTCCCCATGAAACGCACAGCCTGTCCCAAAAATATAGTTATAATTTCCCCCGCAAAACGCACAGCTTGTGTCCAAAAAATATAGTTATAATTTCCCCCGCAAAACGCACAGCTTGTGTCCAAAAAATATAGTTATAATTTCCCCATAAAACGCACAGCTTGTGTCCAAAAAATATAGTTATAATTTCCCCCGCAAAACGCACAGCTTTATTATGTACGGTGGCCCACAGCGGCAATGCGGAACATAAATTAGGAATAGAAATAAAGTATTTTTGCATGAAATGTTTTCATTGTTCATGATATATATTAGTGGAGCAGTAAATATGTATTCATTGAGCAG